ATTTAGTGCCTGGATAAATATTCTAGCTGTTTGTTTAGAAGGGGCTAGGGTGCAAGTCCTGCTAGAAACAGAAAGTGTCTGACACTGATGATCGATATCTTAGGTTCTCATCTTCAAACATAAGGGAAGAAACACTAATATTTATCTTGGCATACAGTATCCGGAAAAATTGGACCAAACGGTCCACTCTCACTTGTAAGCTTTGGTGTTCACGTGTGATATCGGAACGCCTGACAGATTAAGAAAAAACATTTGTACTGAATACAGTACTGCAGCTCCCATTATATAAAACAATGATAGTTCTTACATTAAATATAAATTTAATATACAATTTATTTTTAAAATTGAAATCCAGTATTTCAACAACATGAAGGACTGTGACTTAACATACACTATACTTTACAAGCAAGATGTATTCACACTCAGAAACCATTATAAAGATTTTACTCTGTTTAAACACATAACGTAAAAGCATACAATTTGTGCTGTTTGAAAACTATGCGTAACCGAAAACAACAATAATACAGTAATAATCCCATAGTTTAAACGACATGTACCAAACTGCAGTTGTTCAAAAACAAACAAAAAATGGTTAAAGATTTAAATGCTGAACATGAAATGTTACACACAAATATTCGAATTCCAAGCACAACTATTTGTTGTTTAACACGTTAGTAACATTATATATTACAGTACATCATTGATGATGTATATCATTTTTACTTTTTATCCAAACCATTTAAAACGTACCTAGTCAATGCAAATATAAAAACTTTAAAGCTTAATTAGATAGTTTAAATACTGTGCACTAATGATGCATTTAATGCATAATTGATGAGGCGTACACAGCTTTATAAACAGTTCTGTTAGTGTGTTCCCCCTGGAGTTCAAACAACAGACTCCCTGCGTAAAGCAGCCAAAAACATAAAAATACGCTTTCGTGTGGACCATTACCATCCATTACACCAGGTCCTGTCCAGAAAGCCTTTCCACTGTATATCAGTAGAAATATTCAAACCTCTATACACAAAATTATGCAAATAAAACTAGAGAGGAATGAAAATCCACTGTGTATTGTCTTTGGAATAACAGCAGTCTTACCCTCAAAGGCCTTTGCAATTCTAATTCCTACTAGATTCTATATTCCTGAGCACTAATCAGCCAACTCAGAATTTTTTAAGGTTGCTCAGAAAAATTTGCATGAAGATTACAGCAGCTTTCTGAATAACTATAAGTCATACAACAAAGAATAAAAGGTACAACTATTCTAATATAAATACAACACCATAAACCATAAAGGTACAAAGGTACTTAAGTTGTGATTCTTAAGAAAACAAGAGCACGGGTTTCTCGCCGCCCTGTGTCAGGTTTCCTGAGAGAAATCATTATCTTCAGAAAAAAGCAATCATATGTCAGAGCTGAAATTATGAATCTTCCTATTACAACTTCCCGTGTTGCAGTAACTATAGATGAGCTCCTCTGCTAAACAAGCATGCTTTGGTTAAGCAAGTTCCATAAAATATCAGAGAAATATAAGCATTAAGACTGATTAAAGTTATCAGGAGTGGGACTGATAAATAAATAGTGGGCAATTACTTGAAGATACATCTTGGTTTCTTTGCAGATTAATAAAATGTCCTTTCTTCCTGGCTGGTGGACATCAAACAGAAATTTGCTTTTGCAATACATCTGGTTTATGAAAACCCTTTTACATACTGTACATACATTTCCTGAATTATCCACTCCACGCACATTTGTTTCACCTATACTTGTGTCTACAAAGTAATGAAACAGTCCTCTGTTAAACAAGAAGAGTTTTCAGAGCTTCACACCTGGACTACTGATTTTCATGTTTATCAATAATATGCAAATTTAGACAGCAGCAGTGCAAGGCTGGAAAGTTTCTCCTTCATAGTGATATTTCACAAAAGCCCCAAGGTTTTCTACTTGTTTTGTACCTTCAGTTAAATAAGAAGAGGTTATTTTAGCTTCCACTGCAATTGGGAAATTAAGATTCATTAAACACATTAACATGACTTTATCGTCAGCACAGTAGATAATTCCATTGTAACAATCTACTTTTTAGCACCACAGAACAATTTAGATGCCTACTGGTATTAATCATTATAGCCACTTAATATAAAAAGTATATATTTGTATAATGAAAGCTTGCTCAAGTAATTTACATGTACATGTAAATATTGTATGTAAACTAGTTTGTCAAAAGAAGAAAATATTTAAAACATGTATTACATCTACATTTGGTAACCATACAATGTACCTGATCCAAAAACCTTTATTGTTTTCACAAACAGAGTTTCAGGTTCAGGATGAAAGTTGGATCCTAATTTTGTCCACAGATGCTCTCCTGTATACTTTAAATTATATATATCTCTCAGCCATATATCTTGGACTTCTTTTTGCACGTCTCTCTCACATCCATCCTGTCTCCCATCTACACCCTTGTAGCGGCTCCCTGACTCATTCCTTGCAATAGTTGTCATAGCCAGACTGCCAGTTCCCCAAGTCACACCAAATACTCTTTACAGATTTCATCCCTCCATTACATTCACTAGGATCTAACCAACCTTGGCTTGGAAGAAAAGGGTGGTTTTAACATGCAATGATGATGATGACAGTTCCTATTTTTTTCTTTTTTAAAACAATACATAGTCATCAACTACACTGTGCATTTGTTATGTGAGTCAACAATAAGTATTTATTCAGTAATAACATGCAGTATCTTAGCAATTCTAATGTTACATTTTGCACCTTTTTTATCTATGATTCTCTTGGCATGCAAATCAAAAAGCAATGTCTGACACCTGCATTACCAGTCCAATGAAGTGAATTTTACTCATCAGACAGTTGTTAATTTAATTTCCATTGGCAGTTTTAAGTGACATTAGGAGCATGTTCTGTAAAACTCACCTCTGTTTTCCACTTGTTTTAGAAAACAATTAACTTCACATTTCAATGGGGGGTTGGCAGACATTATGCACACTCACACCTCTATGTCAAACTAAAAATAACTAAATGATTTGGTTTCGTGTTACTCTTGCTATAATTATAATATTGCCTTACATTTAATTTGTGTTCATGTCTCATTGAATGTCAATGTATGTTAGTTCACTTTTGGCCTCAAACATTATTTGCAGAGTGGTGACAAAATCTTCCTTTTTATTAGTAGCTGTTTTGTTAGGAGGGGATACTTTAGAACTATGCAGTAGCAAAGAGTAGTGTAAGCGTTGATTACTTATTTTTCAGATCATTACCTCAGCCAACATCACAGATCAGGAATTACATTTCAGGTAAACAAAGCCATACATGGAGTTTTCGTGACCCTGATCATCTCAAATTACATCCTATTCACCAACCATAATAGTTCATATTAAGATCACTGTTCAATTTCACTTACCCCATGCTGTCAGCTGAGAAATGCTGTTCTGTTAATTCCTCTGCTATTTCTTCTATTGGCTGTTCAGCCAGATGTTCCCCATGGCCAGTCTGTAGGAACTGTTTTTTATTGTTCTCTGTCAAGCCAGTCTGTATGGGAGAAGTCTGTTTAAGTAAAGTGTTCACTGTTCTTAGGTTTACCTCTTCATCTTGCTTCCAACAGATATCTCTTTCTTTGTCTGGAGAATAATTTTGTGAGCTGCTAAAATGTAAAGGGAAGCTTTCAGCTCCTTCAGCCGGATTGATAGTAAATGGGGAAATAATTTCTTTGGCAGATCTCTCAGAATCTGTCCCAGCTGTGTCAGTCATATTAGAACTTTCCTCAGGAGAACTCTCTGTGTTCTCACTCCCATCCACTAACATCCAATTATGCATCTCATTGGGAGATTGTTCTGCTTTGTTTGATTCCTCTAGGGAGTCTCTGGCCCTGACAGAATTTCGCTCTGCTGTTGTGTAAAAACAGAGTGAGGCACTAGAAAAAGTGCTGTTACTCTTTGGATCCTGTGTATCTGGCTTTACTTCAAAAGGGCTTCTAATAGACAGTTCAGATGAATCTGTTGACTCCAAGTGGGAAGTTATTCCTTCAAGGGCTCCATGTAAATGACTGTTCCCTTCAGCGCCCTCTTCAATCATTTCACTTTCTCTCCTCGAGACCATTACGTAATCCATTTCCAATCCAAACAACTCTTCATCTGAACTGGACTGAATATCCTCGCTGCTCACAACTGCCTGTAGCTTAGGACTAGCTCTATTTACGATTAAAGAGTTAAAGTTTTCTGAACTATGGCCATCCTCAATGAAGGACACTGTGGATGTATTGGATTTTACATCTGTCTTATTAATACACACTTTTGTATCAGAACATAATTCCAGAAAACTGCTTTTCTCGGTTTCCTGTTTGTCACTTACAAATTCTTTTGCAAGTGGACCTTTGCCTGTTGCTTTTTGTGTTACTGTTTTAGTACTCGCCACCTTCACTGAAGATAAATTATCCGTAATATCAATGTTTTTCATTGTATAAGACTTATTCTCTTCTTGGTTATACGTAACTGAACCACACTGTACTGGTAATTCATGCTCTGGTGTCAAATGTAAACTGGATTCTGTATCACACATGTTCACAAGGGAAATGTCACACACATCCTTTGAGATCACATTACATTCATAAAGTTTTCCTTCGATGTACTCATCAAAAATAGTGTTGGAAGAATATGTGCTACTGCTCAGCTTATGAGCACTGAGCTCTTCTTGTTCAACAAATGAAAAAACCTTTGATTCATTTTTCATCTTCTGGGGAGACTCTTGGATTATTGTAATTTCATCTTCTGTTGTTTCAACACTCGAGTAATCTGCAGGTGAACATACAAAAGATGTACACTTATCTGCATTTTCGAAAGTGGGAAATCCTCCTGTAGCCTGTAAATTCAGATGAGTTTCACTGTTAGAATCCAGCCATACCTCTTCACTGATGTAATTTGTGCTGTGCTGGTTTGTCTCACCGGAAGTAGAAAAGGCTTCGCTTGGTGAAGATTTAATACATTCCACATCCCTACAGCTAACCTGTTCATCACTTTCCCTCTGTTTACTCATGTGTAATGTGTCCTGTTTCACCTCAGAACTCAATTCCCCATAATTCCATTCATCATTTGCTACAATACCCATTGTCTCAATTAGAGTCTTCCTTGAGTAAGGATACTCCTCTGTACTGGCTTCCACTAATAAGCTCTCCAAATTTGGTTCTTGGCACACATCAGGACTCTGTGATGTCTGTGAACTCTGATCTAGTTCACATTGACTTACAACATCTGGATTTCCAGTTTTGCTATGTGATTTTACAATGGCTGTCATAATGGAGTTACTACATATATCTGGTTCCAAAGATGGTTGACTGAAGCTTTGCTGATTTTCAACAATAATATCAGGTTTCATATGATCATATGTGTTCTCTGAATTTATATCCATTTGTTTAATCTCACTTTGGCTTTCCAAATGTACATCAAAAGTATTGGCTTTTATTTCCTTAACATTGGTGTAATCAACAGCTTCATGTTGTGCAACATCCTTACAAACTTGAAATGGGTCTGAAGTTAAGTGGATAGAGTTCTCATTATATTCTCTCTTGGAATTTGGCTGGTCCAGAGCGGTATCTAATGTCAGTGATTCTAAATTAGGAAATGTATTAATCACCTCAGGAGTGTCTTGGTCAAAAGACTGTGTTTCCTTTAAGGATGGTTCACTGGACATCATAATCTCATCTTCTGAATGAAACATATTGTTTCTGTCTACTCTTCCACCAAATTTTTGCTTACTTTGCTCATCTGTATTTGTAAGTGTGATACTCCAGTTAACCTCATTCTCATTCAGTGAATGACTGCTATCACAATCCTTCAGATATCCTCCATTGACAGTTTCCTGTTTGTGAGCTTCCACATCATTCTCTAGTGCTGTTTTCCATAGTTCCAGATTTTCACATTCATCTTTTGTGTCAGGGCTGCTTGCAGTTGACTGTGTATCATCTTGTATAGTGGTATTCCACATATCCATACCTTCCTGTATTGCTTGAACAGGGCTTTCCAAAGAGTCTCCTTGAACTAGAGCATTGCACGTATCAGATCTCTCTGAGAAATCAGTTGTCTCTGAACTGGTCCGGGTAGACTGGGTATCATCCCTGATAGTTGTATTCCACACATCAAGGGAATCGGGGTAAGAGCCAGAGTTTTTGTGGAAGTTTTCCATAACAGGAAAACTCCACATATCACATTCTAAAGATCCTTGTTTTGGATGAAAAAGTTCTTCTGAAGCTTCTGGCATTTGTGCAACCCCCTCTTCTATTTTTTCTTCAATTTTAACAAAATCTGATGACTGTAACTGAAAAGCATTTTGTTCTTCAGATGGTGTTAATTGAATATCGCCCAGCGTGCCTGGATTCCATAAATCAGAAACTGACAAATTAGGGTTCCAGTTGTCATATGTTTCACAATTTTGAGTCTCTTGAAGAAATGGATTCCAAATATAGGGTTTGCTTCTGGTTTTGTACATGTATGTATCACCAACATTAATGTTTTCTGACAGCCGGAGTTGAAAAGTTGCCCTTTCCATAGTTGAATCCTCAAAAATAATATCATTTTCAGGGAGAGCTGTAGGGCTTTTATCTTTTGGAGGAGGCACATCTTTAACTTCAGCAAAGACACCAACATTGAAAAGTAATTCAGCCTCAGCTTCTCTGTTCTTGTATAAAACCGGGCTTTCTCGTCCACTCTGTGTGGCACCTCTATCTCCATGATCATGATCTGCAGGTATCAGATCAGGTTCTTCCGAACTGATTTCCTGGATGGCATGAGGTTCAGACATTAATGAGTGTATACCTAAACTAAAGGCAGAGGTTGCCATATCTATTGTCTCTTGACTATCACCAAGATTTTGATTATAAAACAAGCTGTCATCCTTAGAACTTACTGTGGATGCATCAGTAACATCAATAGATGGGGAAATGTCAGCAATGCTTGTACTAGCATGGTTATCCATTTTCTCTGTGACCTTGTTTTTAGTCGTCAAGATTTCTGAAGGTGACATATAAGGTGTTAGGTCTACAATTTTTGGGGGCAAACCATGTATTTCAAAAGGATCCTCTACAGCTCCTCCACCAACTGGAGGTAAACTTTTTGCACTATTAAATGTACCTGATAAATTACACAAATTATCATTCTTTTCACCTCCTACAGCAGGTGGGTTTTCGAGTATCTTTATAAAAGCAGATCCATCTTGTTCAGTATTGTATTTGCCCAAATCCTCTTGATCAGAACTTTTGGGTACCTCCTGACTAAAAGATCTGCTCCATGGATAAGTGTCCTTTGAAATGGACTGATTGGATTCATCTTCTTCATTTTTACCTCTGAGCTGCTCTAACTGGTGTAAATACTTTCGTGTAGCATGGTCCTCCAAATCAGTATCTGAACTTCCCTCATCCATATAGCCTCTTTCTGCTACATCCCAAACATGTACATTTTCAGAAGTTGATTCTCTACCCTCTAGTCCAAAGTTGTTCCACTGGTCAAACTGTCTTAAACCTGATGCCACACAATTCTTGTTTCCCATTTCATTTATTTTCTCTATAACATCTTCTGGAAAGAACTTTGGAAGTCCATCATCTAAAGGTGAACTTTCTACAAGACTGTTCATTGGTGTTGGTGGAATTTTTGAATCAGATATATCTCCTATAAGTTGCTCCTGAAATGTTGTGGAAAAGCCATCTCCCAGTAAATAGTTACCTTCGCTTTCCAAGTGTTCATCAACAAATTCATTGTAGAATTCTACTTGATTTAAGTCTCCACATTCGGAAAAAGTAGAAGTGATCTGATCGTCTACTCTTTGTGCTGGTCTGCCATCTGCCTGAGGGTTTGTAAGAATGTTTAATGGTTCGTGAAAAATTAGTGTATTACTATCTAGTGAGAAGTCAGCGACATTTGCTGATGGTGAGATGCTGCTGCTGTGCAAGGGATCAAAACTGAAAAGATCGAAATTCTCATTTTTGCTTGCACTCTGAGACTTGTTCTCCTGTGTTTTTCTACTTCCAGATACAGAATTAGTACAGGGGAAACCTAGGATGGGATTTTGAAGAATACCACCAGTTTCTCCAACAGGACTATCGTCACTGAGAAACACTGAGCTCTCCTTAGAGGAACGGCTGCTTCTGATAGTGGCCAAGCCACTATCGGGACTTACTAAATCTACACCATAGGGTTGTGCTGATTCATTTAAGTCGTGAGAATTTTCAATAAAATGGACAGACATGGACTGTGGTTCAGCATCCGAGCTGTACATGTCGGTGAACCCTGATGATCCCTGAGAAAGGGGTGCACTGCCTGCTACAGCTTCAGTTGACGATGTTCTACTGTTAGGGACAAACAATGGCTGTCTCCTGTCAAGAACTTCTTTGATCAGTGCAATAATTTGTTCAATATAAACAGAAGTATTTCTTTGCTCATAGAGTTGAATCTGATCCATCAGACAGTCGATTGGCTCCATATCCAAGTTTGAATTCTGAGCTTCTTCCAGTTCACAGCATATCTACACAGTTTAAAATACAGAAAAAAATAAACAGCATATTAACAAGATTTTTAACTCTGATATTTTGGTGTAGAAAAATAATTTTCTTTATTTTCCCTAGATCCACTAGGGAATAATTTTTGTAGCTGAGTATATTAATAATAACTTGGCTTCAAAGCAGATCAAATTTTCTAATGAATGTTGCAATGGGAAATATCACAGATAACATGATAACATCACAGATAACAAAACATGTCATAGTAGATCTGAAAACACGAGGAACATATATACTGTAAAATATTTAGATAATTTACCAAGTTCATGCAACTACCAATGATCTAAAGGATATATTGTTGGCACCCATCTGTACCCCAAATCATTACTTACGTGTAGTTTCATGCAATTTCTTTAGAGAAAGTTAATTTAATTCTTTGGACTTTTCTGATACATAGCAAATGTCGTCTGCATTAGCCTTACAATATTGAGATTCTCCACAGTTAGATGTGTGCATTTGTTTAATGTCACACTATGGGAGCACAAGTAAAACAAACAGTACTACATTACGCGATATAACACTATGATTGTCACTGTATATTTACTGTAGGAAGTTAGATTATATTTTTGAACTTCTTAAGTTATAGTATGATTTGTACCAAGTACAGATGAAATTATTAATTACAGATTCATATTAGTGTTATTAGTTTTGAATTAACTGTAAAAGCATTGTGCAATCATTGCCTGATTGAGAAGCTCCACATTCCCAGAGTAGACAGCAACTTGCTGACATCGCTGGTAGGGTTCTTGTGATGAAGATGAAACCAGAATAAGTCCTTCATAGCCATGTTGTTCACAAAACACCTTCAAATCCTCCATAAGGTTTGGATGGTTATTGTAGTCCTAAAAGAAAAACAGAAAATCAAATACCAAGGAATTTCAGTAATGCATTAAATTCTATTTTATAATAACTCTATGAGTAATTTTAGTGATTTAAAGTAGAATAATGGTATTAATTACCATTGTGGTCTACTAAAGGGTAGCTAAATTAATGACAAACTGACAAAATCAGGTAAAGTATTTTTGTCATAAATCAAACGAGTGTCACTAAGAGTTTGTTATTCTGTAAATATAAGCACAAATCTGTTTTCTTCAAACCTGGAATTTGTTCTTTGCACCAGTGTTCAATAGATAACATTTTGGTAACTATAGTTTCAAGATTTTTTTTTTACACTTACAGAATGGTTTATTTAAAAATACATTTTCTAGCATTACATTTTAAAAATCCTCTCTTTAAACCACAACGCTTAGAAACTTTCAAACATCAAAAGCGGCGGATGAGACTGAGTTTTCTTTTTTATTTATTACAAGTTTGGAGTGATACGAGTGACATACAGCAGCATTTAAGAAAGGCATGATAAATTTGATATATACTTACCCTGTGAATTTTGTTTCCCACTGGGAACGCCCAGGCAATGCATTAATTACATTAACTCGCCAATTAAACAAGTATCATCTCATTACCTTTATAATGTGCTCTGAAAGCATGTAACTTTAACATATTCCATCTTAATGAAAGCACTGTGATGCCCCAGGTGTTCTCTGAGGAACAGTTCTAAAAAGGTTTAGCTATGTGATCTATTCAAAGAGTCACACACCACATGTTTCCCCAGGTGAGATAATTACTTGTTTCTATTTCCAATTAACATATATTAAATAATTAGCCTTTTCACCCACATGCACAGAGCTCCAACACAAGAAAACTATGCTACATTTACAGGCAAAGAAGAGGACCCTTGGTACAAGATAATTAACACTCTTCCCCTTTTTTCTTCTTTGTTATTCAGCTAGGTTCCACCATTGACAATCTACTTGTGGTTCCTCAGTCAGAATGCTGACTAACGAATTTGTGATCTCTTGGTTTAGAAGGTCAATCCCACCAAGTCTCTTTTAAAGTGAAGCCTTAAAAACAAAAGGCAATGTCATTTTATATAATTACGTTGCTCATTCATTTTTATTAATTTTATACACTTTCAACCGATCATGTGAAAGTGTATTCTGCTGTGTTTGAAAAGCCACTTCTGAATTATTGATCCTTATTAAGGAGGCCTAATACATTTATGCATATTTTTAAACTTTTCTTTTCTTTTCTTTTATTCTTCAACTAAAATCACTAATCCTATAGTGATCATATTTAAACAAGTTTAAATTACACTTAAACAACAATTGCCTTATTGTAGAAAATTCTACAATAAAATACAAGGAGCCAAATGAACACTTATTTTCAATCCATTTCCACTTCATCATTTTATAAAACTCTTAACTCCTCATTACAAAGATCATCTCCAGACATCCATTTAATTTCTTGCTGGAGTCTCACCAACCAAACATAAATGTTTTTTTTTTAATGATCAGATGAACACACAAATGAACACGATAAAATGTTTTACATTAATATTTACATTATTTAATTTATTTGATCAAAAAGCAGGTAGAGATTGAATAAAATTCAATCTATGAAACACCTGATATTTACATTTTGTCTGAAAAGAAAAGTACCAAATTATTTATCAAAACAATCTATAACAGAGGTGAATATTAAATTATACCATGATTAACTATATTGACATAATGTTGGTAATTCTTGTGAACCTTATGCTTGTAAAATAATTTTAAAATGGCATATAAATGTTAGGACAACATGGTTGTGCCCACTGTAACCAAAATCACAATGATTTAGCAACATTCCAGTTTAGAGAGAAGAAATCAAATTGAAAATGTCAAGATTTGTTTTGGCCAGAATGAAAAACACAGCCTTTCCAACAGAACCTCATCAAACGTAGTGGTGGTCTGCTTTGCTGTGTCAAAACCTCCAAAGCTCGTCATCGTTGATGAAACCATGAATTCTGCATTGTATCATCAAATTCTGAAGGAGAATGTCAGGCTATGCATTGGAACTGAAAATGGACCATGCAGCAAGACAAGGATCCTAGACATACTGTACAACCAGATCTACAAAAGAATGGCCATAACAGGTCCTGAACCTAACCTCTATTAAAATGTAATGGTCTGAAGGTGTTAAACTGAGCTGTTCATCCAAGGAAACCCTTAAATGCTACTGACCTGAAGCACTTTTGTAAGGAACATCTAGTTGAAGTCAAAGAGTTTTGACCAGTTGCTGAATCTAAGGGTTTTTCCATACTTACATACTTTTGTATTATTTCCTTAAATAATCCAGATACAGTACATTTTTAGTTAAAGGTTTAATCAGTTTATCTTCATCTTTTATGAAGACTTTCAACAGGATCTAATTACATTTAGTTCTACAATATAAGAGAATACAACCCAACCAAACTTTTGCTTGGTACTGTAAATCAATGAACATATGGTGCTAACACAAGCTCAACAAATATGAACTTTTTTGTAGAGAAAAATATTAAAATGTTTCCTATGGGAATTTTGTAACAGCCTGAAGTTTATTTGCAACAAACAGATCTAAGAGTCCTGTGTGAGCTGTTTGTGTTTCCTATAATTTATGCCTGTCTTCTAGCCAAGCTCAGTGTCATGTGCTGTGATGGCACTTCTGTTGCTGCCAAGTAATGTTGTCCTAAAATAAACAGCAGTTCATCATCAACTCAAGGCAACTGTACATACAGGTTGGTGCTTTTCTTCTATCCATCTGCCATCTACCTGATAAATTACTGTTTTGTCGAGCATTTACAAATATGATTTGTTATCCCAGCAGCAGTAAACAAATTCCTACTAAAACAGCAAAAATCTATTCAGGGTTAAAAGCCATTAGCTCTGAAAATGCAAGCTGATAGCCTGATATGTCCAGTGTGCATTCTATGGGTTATGGGTAAATTAGTGCTTAGCAAATTTAGTCCTACAGTATCTACACAAAATATTAAAAGGTATTGAAATTGAGACAATAAAAAAATATGTTTTTAAACTAGGAATTAAACTGATATTTATAAATGTTCATACGCAATAGAAAGGTATAATGTATTAATAATATAAAGAGGTTTGACTGTCAAGTTGAATCAGTGTGCAAGCAGCTAAGCAACAAGGAGAGGCTAAGCATGGTATTTCAGTGTGGAATCTACTTGTTCCCTAATAATATAAAGTAGATAGTATAGTTATATTTCTACATAGGCAGAACTATTTTTTCCAAGTAATTTGTTTTCCTAAGCAGAACGTTATTTAAGCATTTAAGAAAGTTATTTAAATATCTTGAGGAAAGTCATACACTTCCATAAAGTTTAAAGCATAAAGTAGTGACGTGCCCTTTATTCTGTTTAATGCATAAATATCCTTAAAGATTCTGTGGCATTTTGTGTAAACACAAAGGTAATTCTGGGGTCCTCACTAAATTCCATTCAGTAATTATGCAGTCTGACCTGCCTAAATTTCCCCATTAACCCAAATGGTGAAAGAATATCTCAGTTCTCTGCCTGATCTGCTATGTGCAGTACTGCTGCTTCTGGTGCACAGCAGCAGCTACTGTAGGTGTCATGAAAGTCATCTCTAATATTATCTTTTAAAATTGGTCTTTTCTTTTATTATTAGTTCAAAACCTTCATTTTTACTACAGCAAACATTTATAGAAATGTGTTAACAGATGATATAGAAACATTTTAAAAACATTATAAAGTATACAGTATGTAAAAATACTTTACTGTATTTTTTAATTATACTGATACTTTACTGATACTAATACATACCGGTTACTGATTTATATTGTTTGATGACTTTATCTTATTACATTTGTGTGCTTGTAAATATGCACTATAATTATTACAATTAATTTTGAGTGTGTCTAGATTGATTAAACATTTAAGTGAATTTCTTAAACAGAAAGAACCCTTGTGCTTAAACTTATTTGGTTTTCCTCTATGTCCAAAGTTCTATTAAAACTGGGAATCCCAAAATACAACTCTAGTCTTGTAAAGAGTGATCATTCTACAATCTGTGACACAACCTAAATCTATTAACCTATTATCAAGCATCACTGTCTATTAACATTATTCTCGTTTCTTAATGAAACAAAGAATTTAATACCCTTATTATCAGTTGAAAATATAAATAAAACACAAAATACACAAAAATAAATACATTTTAAGTATTTTTCCTTCATAGGCTCATTATAAACAATGCGCCTACTTGTGTTAAAGCTTGTGTTTATGCCTTTGTAGTTAAATCCCCTAAATTCTTTGACATTGCCATGCTCTGTTTTGAAGTGATGCCACTTAGTCCTGTAAGAGATTTCTTTTCACTTTAATATGTTTTTCTTTAGGCAATCATTGGACAATATATGTTTAAAAGAAAATCAGTTGCTTGAACAAAATTTCAATTATTAAAATAGTTTCCTAAAGTCATTTAAAACTTAGTGTCACTTTCCTCTGCATAATATGTTCTTCCAATTGTTTTATCATTAATTGATCTAGCATACAAAACAGAGTAAGAAGTATGCTGAATAAGATTTTTTTCCTTATATCTAAAGTGTAAATGTTTAAACGTCATTTAAAACTGCACTGGGTGGTGTAAATGAAAGCTCTATGATTTATGTTTCTGAAATTAAGCTATTACACTTAGACATCTAACATTCATAAATTATGGTAATTTTATGACAGGCCAAATGATTTATGAGGATAAAATGCATTAATTAAAGGTTTTGTTTATTGAGAGGTTTTATTATTACTATTATGAGTCATAAACAAGCATGCAATGTCATTTTAAATCTGTAAAAAGCAGTTTCAGATTATTTCTCAATTTTGCAAAAATGTCAAATTATTACTTAAACATAATTAACTTTTTCAAAGAACAAAGCTGTTTAAACAGATAACTGTATTATACTCTTATTAAGCTGCCTTACTATGGATGGAGTTACATGCTGTTAAGTG